TCCGTCCCCACTGCCGTTACCTCCCCCGTCTGCCTTGCCAACGTTCTCCCCGTTCGCCTCTTCCCCTTCCCCTGCCTGTCCCCTCACCTCCCCGTCCCGCCCTCCCACTCTGTGCTTCATGATAATGCCGTTGCCAGTGGCCGGCCGATGCGAGCCGAGCCGTGCCGAGTTTTAGTAGTTGCCAATTATTGTGGAAATCCAACCGAACTTATTTGTTCTCAGCACCAGCTTCATAAATAAAAAAAGCCCCTACTGAAGACGGGTTTTTGTAGTAAAATTTCCACTAAACTTAGTTTTTTTTTGCTTTTTTCTGCTTTTATTTGTAGATTTCAATTCTCTGTTTTCGCTTTTTTAAACTTAGTTTGCTTTAACTTATTTTCTTTGCAATGCTGTGTTATTTCTTTCTCTTTACTGTTGTCTCCATTTCCTGCCTTGAACTTCAGACTAGTAATGTCGCACTAAAGTATGTAAATACTAAAGAAAAAAAGCTAATTTTTTGTGAAAGAGTGAGATACCGGTGGCACTTGTGCAGCTGCGCTTGGGACAGTTACTGCTGTAACAGATGGCTGTACAGTGGCATTATATCCTTGAAAACCACCGTCCTGGTCGTAGTGGCCATAACGTTCATCACGACTTGATTGCTGGTACCTAGAAATTTTAAGAACTTATAATAACCATCCAAGCTGGGCAGCTGGTTTTTAGAGATAAAAAAAGAAGCAATTCGAATTAGAAAGAGCTAGTCCGGAAACGAAAATTTAATAACAATCCGCCCATTTGTTCACACTTAAGCTCCGTACGCACAGAGATCATTTATCAGTATTATTGTCAAAAATAAGCCTAAAACTTGCTTCTGCAGATCCCTCATAAAAAGACTCAATTTTGACTGTTCGAGGAAAAAATTCAAAACAATCAATTATGCCAAAAAGAACAAGCATTATAGGAGAGATATGTTGAGGGGAAGAAGGAAAAAATAAGATGAAAAAGATGAAAACTATTTTTTTCTGATTAAAATTACTTGAACCCGCGAAAGCGCCAGTGATGCGAACATTTTTTTAGTTATTAGAATACTTTATCTGCCTATTATGAGCAAAGATCCCAGGGCCGATGTGGTGCATTCGTAAAAGGAACGCAGGTGAAAACATAGGCAAATCCAGGACGGACTCCTGGGGAGGAGAGGGCGAGGGTGAGGAGAGAAGCGGGGTTGGGGAGAAGAGTCCTCTTCTGTCTTAGAGTTATGCAAAAATTAGGAACAGAGTGTAACAGTGCTACTTAGAATTAGTTTAGTTTAGAGTTACTTTACGCTTTAGTTTACTTTAGTTTCAGCTTTATAGACTCGGACTTTTGCACCACCTTTGCCCCTTACCCCCTCCCCTCCTTCTTCCGGATCCGCCTATATGTGGAAATGCTTGTCGTAATTCCCAGTAACGATTCCACATTCAGCTTTTCCGCCAGTTGCTTTGACCAATGCTGCATCGGTTGGTAGTCGTTCTGCCAGCAATCATGATGTTCGCTTTCCCTCTCGAGGAAGCTACTTACTAGTTGAGCGGTTCTCCCAGTAGAAGCACTTTAGAAAAACTTAAGCCATTCGGGGATGTCAGTGGTTTTTGATGAGCCTCTTCACTCGACATTTACATTATTTATTCACCAATAAACTGGTAACCGCGCATAGTCAAGCGAACACTGCGGAGGCCACCGGTGACATGGAGAGATCTCATGGTACGTCTGTACGGTATCGCGTGGATTTGGAGAGCGCAACAACTAATCAAATGGAGAAGTTGTCAGCTGCACTGACGGTGTGATAACGAACGTCAACGACATACCGTTGCTCAAGTATCCAAGTATATATTGCATATATTTATACACACGTGTCGTGAATCTGAGCAACGAAAACCGCTATTTCCATGACAAGTTAACTTCTTGTCTAGTATTTCTATGCTAAATTTTGATGCACTGTTTTATTTTGTGAGAAATTTGATTTCTTACATGGAATTTGCCTGACTACTGCTTTGTCCAAGAACGTTGAGCATTTTCGGATCCTGCCATGGACCAACTGAGTGCGCTTGTTGTGACTGGGTGGACTGCCGTTGATCTGATATGGAGGAACGCACATGATAACTTGTTTGGCCATTTTTCCAGGAATCAGATAGTGTGCCGTCGGCTGCACGACTCCATGCATCTTCGCCCACTAAAGATTCCATTCAATTTTAAGCACAAGAAGTTTTTCTTGCAATTCTTTTTTAAAAAAAAAACTTGTTTTTGCAGAGCTCGTAGCCACTCCCTACACTGCTTACCACTGACCGCAGATTCAAACTCAGACTGTTTTTACCATTACACGATGGGATACTTTTTGTACAAACACGGAGTTTCGGCGGAATGAAAGACCTGAATTCAGCCTTTCGAGCATGATAACTTCTGGATAACGACCTGATGCTCGGCTAATTTTATAACCCCGGAACAAAGCTTAGCATAAACTTAATATTTCGCCAATTCAAATGCAAATGCACTCAAAACTACCAATGACGAAAATTATCATGATGATTATCATGATCGTGTCATAAGTTTATCATGATAAAGAAACGCGCAGCTATTGCTGCCTATTTTCTTCGGATCTCATTTGTTTTTTTTT